GGGGGAGGGGGAGGGGGAGGGCGGACCTTCTTGCTCCAGGGACTGTCTAGGGTCGTGGGACACAGATGCGAAGCCCAGCCCGCGCCCCTCCTCCCACACGCCCCAGAGGTTGGCTGAGACCAGGGCCCGGCAGGCTAGGCCGCCGCTGGCAGCGGTGTTAGGTTGCCCACGCTTCCTGGGTTTTGGGGGCGGGCGTGGCGGCCAGATAAACTTGAGCGTGCAGGCGCATTCTTGAGGCCCTGGGTGGGGAGAAGGGCATGCCCTGAGCCAGGGCCGGGTACACGCCTCGGCCCGCTCAGTTATTAGCCATGACCTTCGGAAAGCCCATTTGCTTAACTGAGGCCTCTTTCCTCATCCATCAGATTAAGAGGTTGAGCTAGATAATCTCTAGACAGCTCTGGAAACCTATTTCTCTGTAGACCCTGCCCTTTTCCTAAAAACGGAAACAAAAAAACTCTTTTACACAAGGTACTTATTACAGATTTTGTGGGGCCAACCACCTCCTCTCTTAAAATACAAATACTCCCTGGGGTTTATCAGAACACCTGTAAAATGTGATGTAAAATATGAAGGTATTGTAGGAAGCTGCTCCCGAACAGCGCTCAGAACTTTGTGCCTCTTTATAGTGCGGATCAGACTCTGGTTTAAACCCGAGCAATACTAGGCTCTCCGTCAGTAAACTCCAGAGGGCAGGAACTTTGGTTTATTTATCCGGTATCCCTCCAATGGCTCGGGGCTTTCTAGTAGGAGGGGCTGGGGAAAAGGCAGCCCTTGGTTCCTGGCGTAGAGGCCTGACCCCAACACTCAGCTAGTTGAAAGTTGTCAGGTTGGTGCTATGGGAATTTTGCTGGGATTTGAGGAGGAAAAAGAGGTTTAGAAGCTAAGCAGGCCTGCAAAGCAAGAAGTTGGGAGGGACTTTGGGTGGCGCTAGTTGTAGGGTGATGGAGTCTGACTCCAAAATTGAAGTTCTTACTGTCACAAAGTAGACTTCAGTCACCAATCTATTGCTTCACCTCTCCAGGCCTCCTGTTCCTTTTATGTCAAATAGGGATAGGGCTGGATCTACCTTCTGGAGTCGCAATGAAGGTTAAAGGAGCCAATGCATGTAAAATGCACAGTTGCAAACCTGCAACAAATGGTAACTTTGATCATTTTACTGAGACTGTGATGGATACACAGCCGCTTCTCTGTGTAGTCACTATCCCAGAGGCTGGTGCTGGGCCTAGATTTCTCTCAATGTAGTGGAAATACTGTGTACAGAAAATCTCTTGTGTTGTAGAATTATTGTTAGTGGAAATTCTTCTGTATGTGGCTATCTAAGACATTTTTAGGAGAATCTGGCCTAGAGATTTTTAGAAACAAATTTTAAAGAGCATTCTAAGGAAATTGATTAAAAACAATATATGAAGCTTTAAAAAGAATGACTAGTTGATTCATGAAGAGGCTTGCCAGATTAGAGTTAAATTTATATTTTTCTGGCTAATGTGATCTTATTGAAGGAGACAAACATTTTCAAGGTATAAGAGGAGGATTCATGAAAACATAACAGTGGAAAGTTATAACACTTGATTATGACAAAAGTGGGCTGTAGTAAGAGGAAGTAAAGGTTTAGATTATTTTTAAAACTACAGTTATCCAAAAGGGGTAATGCATAACCCACCCACCACCCAGCCCTGAGCAACCGACCTAACAGGCAAGTGATTCTGGTGAGAAATGAGGAAACAGGTTAGGACTTTTAAGACTTAATTTTGGTTCTGTTGTCTGTTCATGTACCAACACTCCCCAGAGAGAGGGTTTTTCCCTGGATAACCAAAGGGCAAATGGTGTGTCGCAAATACTGCAGGACACGTTCTCTCTTGTGCTTAATTGCACATTGTGGGGTTCACTACAGTGCTGACTGGTAACAGCAGCACCACCGAGGAGGCTGGAACCACCACGTTCTCCTTTTCTTTCTCCATCTGATCTGAGAAGAGCCATAGACGCCTTACTCTACCTCTGTCTCCCATCAGTAAAGCGAGGTTAAGAGTGCAACCTTCTCCCTTCTCTTGTTGTTAGGTGCCATCCAGTGGATTTGGGATTCATAGCAACCCCATGTGACAGCGTAGAACTGTCCCATAGGATTTTTTTAGGCTGTAGTCTTTACAGGAGCACATCATCTGGTCTTTCTCCCATGGAGCCACTGTGTGGCTTTGAACCACCAACTTTTTGGTTAGCAGCCGAGTGCTTAACCGTTTCAACACCAGGGTTTCTTCTGCCTTCTCTTAATGGAGGAATAAATGTGCAAAGTAATTAGCTAATTTCCGTAACATTTGTGAGCCCCACAAAGAAATAAACTCCATAAAAAGAACACGTTATTACGTGGTTAAGACTTTAAAGGTGTGACGTGGCACCTTGGTAGTATTTAGTAATAGGTTTTCAGTGCAACAGTTTCTTGAGGGAAGCGTAGGTCCTGGGAGCTTGGGAGGCAGCCTGGGCAGAATATCCCATTAGCCACTGACCAGCTGTGTGGCCTTGGGCAAGTGACTTCTCCTGTCTAAGCCTCAGTTATTTTCCTCTTAGAAACAGATGAATCCGCTTACCTCACAAGGATTATCTGTGATAACAAGCCAGGTGTCCACCTAGAACAAGGTGGGAGTCCTCACCCCCTTCCATTCAGGCTGTGTTGGGTCAGGAGTATATTTGGGGTGTGAGGAGAAGGCCGTGGGCCTGAGGATGGGTTCTAGAGTCTAAGCTAGAGCAGAGTCGGGATGTGAAATGTCCATTTTTCAGAGCTGGACTAGTTTTAAATTCTACTCTTTAATGTTCCAGAAACCTGCTAACCAACCCAAGTTAAAAGCTTACTTCAGTTGAGCCTATGCAGACCAAGTGACTTTCATAATGCCCTTCTGCCATTTTACCTTACTATTATTTAAATCTGAAGTTCAGAGGAGCTACAATCCCAGCACAGGAGCCTTTGGCCACATGTATGAGCCCTGGTCGTGCAGTGGTTAAGAGCTCGGCTGGTAACCAAAAGGTCAGCAGTTCGAATCCCCCAGCTGCTCGTTGGAAACCCTATGGGGCAGTTATACTCTGTTCTGTAGGGTGGCTGTGAGTCGGAATTGACTCGACAGCAATGGGTGTGTGTGTGTGTGTGTGGCCATATACTCAGCATCTCAAAGGACTGCACCACTCTGTCTTCTGACTTAAAGAAAAATGTGACATGAGCCTGGTGTGCATATGAGCAGAACGACAATAAAGCTTCCATTGAGCTCAAACAAAGACCAGTTATCTGTGCCCGCTGCCGGTAGAAAATGCAGGAAGCACAGTGCTTTGCTCAGGCTAGTAAGTTCAGTAAATGTTTGTTGGCTCACTTTGTTGTCGGTGCTGGCAGGAGGGTTAACAAAACCCTTCTGAGCCAAGTCACATACATTTGGAGCATTACTAACATTAACAGTCAATGTGTTTGACTCACAATCGAACCTGGAATTACAAACATGAGCCATCCTCATGGCAAGTCCCCCGGAACTAGTGTTGCTGGCAGCTCACTCCTTTCTGGTCCACGTACTTGTGGCTACATAGTTCTGGGCTCTGTGGTTTGTGCCTGGGCTCAGTGTGTTCCAGGGGAGAAGTGGCAGGTGGAGTCTCTTTATTACCTCTTACCTCTTGCCCATCTTGTCAGTACTCTCAAGAGTACTAGTTTCTTGTTTGGCTCACATTTTCCCACTCTCAGGGCTCAGATTACAGGAGAGCTGCCCATGAGTGCCATTTCCAGAGAGAAGCCCTCACCCCTGGCCTCTGCCACATCCCAGGGTTTCTCCAGTCAAAGCCGTGATGGGGGCAGAGGGGTAAGGTGTGGGCTCTGGGGCTGGACCATGTGGGTCTGGTTCCTGCTTCTACTACTTCCTGTGTGACCTTAGGCAAGTTACTTAACCTCTCTGTGCCTTAGTGTCAGAAGTCAAGGAATCAATTCAGGCACGGTGCTGAGAATAGCAGTGGCGCATACTCAGTGCTCAATTAAAGTTAACTCATTATTCTATCTTGGGTGGTTCTGGGGATACTACATTCCTCCTCACCTGCCACTTCCCCAAGAACAGCGGGGGTGGGCGGGGTGGCCTTCAAGGCCCTTCAGACTCTCCAAAGCTCTCCAACCTCACCTCTTATTTCTCTTTTCCTCGTTCACTTTCTGCATCCACAGTGGCCTTTTTGTTTTGTT